CCCCCGCGTCGCCCCCCAGGAGGGGATGCTGCGATCAGCCCCGTTGGTTGCGGGACTGCGGACCTGGTCGTGCGCCTGAAGCTTTCAGATGCTTATTATTCCCCCGCTAATTCCCCCTGTTGCTCGGCCTCGCGCCCTCGCAGAAGTGAAACACCGAGCAGAGCTGAACCTCAGCTGCTCTCCCTCGAGCACAGGCCACCCAGGAAAGCAGTCCATGCCCAGCGACCGAGCACAAACCACCAGGAAAGCCCGTCCATGCCCAACGACCAGCACAAACCACCCAGGAAAGCCCGTCCATGCCCAGCGACCGAGCACAAACCACCAGGAAAGCCCGTCCATGCCCAACGACCAGCACAAACCACCCAGGAAAGCCCGTCCATGCCCAGCGACCGAGCACAAACCACCAGGAAAGCCCGTCCATGCCCAACGACCAGCACAAACCACCCAGGAAAGCCCGTCCATGCCCAGCGACCGAGCACAAACCACTAGGATAGCCCGTCCATGCCCAATGACCAGCACAAACCACCAGAAAAGCCCGTCCATGCCCAACGACCAGCACAAACCACCCAGGAAAGCCCGTCCATGCCCAGAGACCGAGCACAAACCACCAGGAAAGCCCGTCCATGCCCAACGACCAGCACAAACCACCCAGGAAAGCCCGTCCATGCCCAGAGACCGAGCACAAACCACCAGGAAAGCCCGTCCATGCCCAACGACCAGCACAAACCACCCAGGAAAGCCTATCCATGCCCAACGACCGAGCACAAACCACTAGGAAAGCCCATCCATGCCCAGCGACCGAGCATAAACCGCCCAGGAAAGCCCGTCCATGCCCAGCGACCAGCACAAACCGCCCAGGAAAACAGTCCATGCCCAACGACCAGCACAAACCACCCAGGAAAAGTCCATGCCCAACGACCAGCACAAACCACCAGGAAAGCCAGTCCATGCCCAGCGACCAGCACAAACCACCCAGGAAAGCAGTCCATGCCCAACGACCAGCACAAACCACCAGGAAAGCCCGTCCATGCCCGACGACTCCGGGTGCCGGGGATACACACGGAGCTGAGCCCCGCTGCTCTGGGCTGTCTGGAGGTGCCGGTGATTTACAGCCGCGCGCTGTTGACTCTGGCCTTGCGTTTTGTTTGCCTGTTGATGGCACTTGTGTTGGTGCACCGTGACAAATTATTGAGGTAAAAAAATTAATTCTCGCCCGGCCGGCGTGGCTCAGCGGTTGAGCATCCACCTAGGATCCAGGCGATTGAGGTTCGATTCCTGGTCAGGGCACATGCCTAGGTTGTGGGCCTCATCAGTGACTGACTCATCATTGATGTTTCTCGCTCTCTCCCTCTCCTTTCCTCTCTCTGAAATCAATAAAGATATACTTAAAAAAAAAAAATTAATTCCCTAGATAGCTGAGGCAAAGTAAAAAAATAAAGTAAGCACCTTTGCCTGAATTAACCTTGTGTGACCCAAGATTTCTCATCTATTGAAATGAGCCACTAATTCCAGTTCACGGGTGGGGTGAGGAAGATCCCTGAAAATGCTCTATAGAGTACTATGCAAGTAACAGGTGTCTGTTGTTTTTGTTATTTTTTTTTTAAGTATCTTTATTGATTTCAGAGAAAGGAAGGAAGAAGAAAAGAGAGAAGCATCAATGATGAGACTTCATTGATCGGCTGCCTCCTGCACGTCCGGACTGGGGATCGATCCCGCAACCCGGGCCTGTGCCCTGACCAGGAATCAAACCGGGACCTCCTGGATCCTAGGTCCATGCTCAACTGCTGAGCCACGCCCGGCCAGGCTTGTTGTTTTCTTAACTTCAGAAAGTTTCAGATTCCCAAGGGTTTTATACCATGTGTCAAATTGTGAGCCTGCACCAGCTCTTTGGCCCAGAGAAAAAAGCAAATGTTCTGTTAGGCACACTGCATAGCTGATGTTTATCATAATCCTTTTATGGGAGATCCCACCAAACACATACTGTGACTTACCTGACATCACTTCATTTCTGAGCTGACACATAAGTAGGCTGAATAATTCACCTGGAGTCATCCAGTAAACTGGCAGCAGGCAAGGACTTTGTCTATGAAACTAATGTATCTACTAATACCAAAGAGGTATGCACATAAGGCAGTTCAGCAAGTGATTTTAGACTGAAAGAATCCCTCCAACCAGACAAAGAAGGGTGGAAAAGCTTGTACCTGCAAAGAAAACAAAGGCACCTCCACCTATGCTGCATGGTTCGGATCACAAACTTAACAACCAGTTAGGAAAATCTTCACTCTTAGTTTAGCTGTTTGGCTTTAAAATCTTGAACAAGTTACTTAACCCCTCTGAGCCTCAAGTTCTACAAAATATAATTAGTGATTGACACCTACAGTGAAGGCTTGTGCTAAAAATTAAATATATAAAGTGTTCAGCACATGTTCAGAG